TTTTTAAAAGGGTAACTACGTAGCATGTTTGATAGAGAATAACGTTTATGGGAGGGGGCTTGGGGGGTACACGAAGCGTCTACAAAATACGAATGCAAAATATCTGAAACCAGACGGCGTGCACACTAACACTGCTGCCCCATGGTGGACGAGAGGAATTCGCCACCCCAGGTGGGAACGGGACCATCCCCGATGCAAGAAACATCCCCCTCGGCTTCAATCTTCTGCGACGAAGCTTCTGGGTCCGCAACCCCTAAACCGCATCCCCACTGCATTAACGATGGCAGCAGCATCAGCAGATGCACTTCTACGTTGACGATGATGCACAGATGGAGAACTTAAAAATAAACTCTCCAGCGGTGCCCGGAGACTGTGGTCACCACCCAGAGCGGACAACCAGACTCGATGGCCGAGTCACAAATACGGAGGAGCCACTGTCGTCATCACCAGTCCCGTTTACTCCCGACGCAATCATCTGGCTCATCAAGCCGCCTCGACGTGAAACGGGACTTCTTGTCGCTTTAGCTCAACATCAGCCAGGAAGAGGAGGTGGGGGGGAGGAGACGACAGGGCTAAGACCCGCGCCGCGCCACTTGTGCGTAATCGCGCTCAAAACGCCCGCGATGCAAAGGTCGCGTTTATCAGCGGAGCCACAGAGGGTTTCACACGTGAGAGTTTCACGACCGGCTGACTGACATCTGGGGGAGGGGCTCAATTAAGCAAATTAGGAAGTGAATGCACACACACACGTGTGTGTGTGCACGCGTCTGTGTGTGTGTCTGCGTCTGTGTGGGGAGCGGTGTCCTAGCGGTTAGCGAGCTACGCTACGAACCCAGCGAACCAGAGTTCGATTCCCGCTGATGGCCAACAGCAGTGAGGATTATCCGAACCGGTCATGGGCCTCTCCCCTAGGTCGACTCAGCCTCAAATGAGTAATTGGTGCGGTGTGTAAAACATCGCCACTGGGGAGACAAAGACGGTCGGGCGTTGTGTTGGCCACCCAACCTCCCCCCCCCCCCGCCTCGTGTTCCGTGCCGACCTTCATTAAGTGCTCGCTAACAGCACTTTCCCCAACAGTCTGTACAGGCTATACGGGGGATCTGTCTTTGTTGTGCGAGGGTGGCATGGCTATTACTATGAATGCACTTGATGACAAGTCGTGGCTGATCACACTAACAGGTTACGTGTGGTGCTTCCATGTCCACCGTTGTTGTTGCTGATGTAATAACGATGTTGCTCGCTCACCGCCCCCCAATGTTTATTTCGCAAAGCGTTTACAGTCAGGGAAAAAAAGTATTTGATCACCTGCTGATTTTGTACGTTTTCCCACTGACAAAGATATTATCAGTCTATAATTTTAATGGTAGGTTTATTTGAACAGTGAGAGACAGAATAACAAAAAAATCCAGAAAAACGCATGTCAAAAATGTTATAAATTGATTTGCATTTTAATGAAGGAAATACGTATTTGACCCCCTCTCAATCAGAAAGATTTCTGGCTCCCATGTGTCTTTTATACAGGTAACGAGCTGAGATTAGGAGCACTCTTAAAGGGAGTGCTCCTAATCTCAGATTGTTACCTGTATAAAAGGCACCTGTCCACAGAAGCAATCAATCAATCAGATTCCAAACTCTCCACCATGGCCAAGACCAAAGAGCTCTCCAAGGATGTCAGGGACAAGATTGTAGACCTACACAAGGCTGGAATGGGCTAAAAGACCATTGCCCAGCAGCTTGATGAGAAGGTGACAACAGTTGGTGCGATTATTCGCAAATGGAAGAAACACAAAAGAACTGTCAATCTCCCTCGGCCTGGGGCTCCATGCTAGATCTCACCTCGTGGAGTTGCAATGATCATGAGAACGGTGAGGAATCAGCCCAGAACTACACGGGAGGATCTTGTCAATGATCTCAAGGCAGCTGGGACCATAGTCACCAAGAAAACAATTGATAACACACTACGCTGTTAAGGACTGAAATCCTGCAGCGCCCGCAAGGTCCCCCTGCTCAAGAAAGCACATATACATGCCCGTCTGAAGTTTGCCAATGAACATCTGAATGATTCAGAGGACAACTGGGTGAAAGTGTTGTGGTCCGATGAGACCAAAATGGAGCTCTTTGGCATCAACTAAAGTCGCCGTGTTTGGAGGAGGAATGCTGCCTATGACCCCAAGAACACCATCCCCACCGTCAAACATGGAGGTGGAAACATTATGCTTTGGGGGTGTTTTTCTAAGGGGACATGACAACTTCACTGCATCAAAGGGACGATGGACGGGGCCATGTACCGTCAAATCTTGGGTGAGAACCTCCTTCCCTCAGCCAGGGCATTGAAAGTGGGTCGTGGATGGGTATTCCAGCATGACAATGACCCAAAACACATGGCCAAGGCAACAAAGGAGTGGCTCAAGAAGAAGCACATTAAGGTCCTGGAGTGGCCTAGCCAGTCTCCAGACCTTAATCCCATATAAAATCTGTGGAGAGAGCTGAAGGTTCGAGTTGCCAAACGTCAGCCTCGAAAACTTAATGACTTGGAGAAGATCTACAAAGAGGAGTGGGACAAAATCCCTCCTGTGGGCAAACCTGGTGGCCAACTACAAGAAACGTCTGACCTCTGTGATTGCCAACAAGGGTTTTGCCACCAAGTACTAAGTCATGTTTTACAAAGGGGTCAAATACTTATTTCCCTCATTAAAATGAAAATCAATTTAACATTTTTGACATGCATTTTTCTGTATGTTTGTCATTGGTAGTCTGTCTCTCACTGTTCAAATAAACCTACCATTAAAATTATAGACTGATCATTTCTTTGTCAGTGGGCAAACGTACAAAATCAGCAGGGGATCAAATACTTTTTTCCCCCCCTCACTGTACAGATCGGCGCCAATGCCTCGAATCGTTGTGGATTCATTCGGGGAAAATTTAAAGAAAATCTCGCCACTGACCGCGATGCCCGGGTGGTGTTGTGTGGAGTTGTTTTAAATTCTGGGACAATATTCGATGGATAGCCGCGACGGTAATCTATGCGCGCGTAAACATCGTGCAAACGCTGACCGCGTGTGCCGATCTCCACGTCGTGGCCAGGAGTTGAACCCGGGTGGACAACAACTGTGGAAGCTGTTGGAGCGGAGCGCTCGCGACGGACAGCCGCTTGGACCCGATTGGAATGAATAGAGTCCGCTCGTGTTGACATCAAACGGGGGTTGCGCTCACCAACACAACGATCCGGGTGTTCGTTGAGAACATTCACGCGCGCATATGCAGACACAGAAAGACAAAGACTCCCCTCCCCTCCCTTCCCCGTTAAGCCGTACAATGTTAGCGAGCACCTATTAAGTCAGTGGTGTGGCCAACAACTATGCCCGGCCCGCCTTTGTATCCCCAGTTCCGGAACCACCGCATCGGGCAATCTACTCGCTTAATGCCAAGTCAATATCCAAATCAAGGCCCGATGATAATTAAAAGTTCGTTTTGCGATGCACAACATATGCAGACGTCAAATTGAACCCGGGGTTGCTGGTATGTTGCGCTAAGCATTGCACCAACTTTTGGGGAAAGTAGCTGTGAGCGAGTAGCACCTACGATTGCTCGAACGGTACACGAGGTGGTGGTGGTTGTCCAACACCACTCCCGACCGCCTTTGTATCCCCAGGATACACACCGCACCAGGTATTAAATTTGAGGCCGAGCTGACCTAGGGGAGGCCCGGGGACTTGTATTTAGACAACAGTCGCTGGTGTTTGCCGTGAGCGGGAATCGAACTCGATACGTCGGGATTGTAGCGTCGCGCATTAACCACTCCACAAACCGTACATGCATATATACACACACACATATACATACCATGTACACATGTCACGTACACAAATACATACAAACATATACGCACGCGTGTATGTTATTATGAACACACGCATATCACGTATACCATATAGGAATACACACTGTACACGAGTATGCACGCATATATTTACACATGTACCCTAGACAAATATAATGTATACATACTATATGCAGTGTGTGTATATATATACACCTTATATGCCGTACACACAAAAGATACTCAGACGGATATATGCCCCCGTATTAAATTAATCGAATGTTTGGGCAAATGCTAAATGCGGGCACCTATGGAATTTATAACACACACACATATATATGCAAACATCATGATATATATACACACACACAGTATGTGTGTGCGTGCATGCATGCAGGATATTGATAGTATACATAAAAACACGAAACGCCAAACACTTCACATATAAGCACGGGTGTTTTCGGCAAACCACTTGCTAGCGAACACCTATTAAGGCCGCATATACACACAGACTCAACGTAGCACACATTTACACATTCCGTGTTCACAACCCGTCAGCGGGCAGAAAGGGGTTATTGTCGTTTTGTCCTGCGCCAAACGCCACTGACCCACGTGGTGAAGTATGGTCAAGTACGCCTACACGATCCGCACCGCGTGGCGCGGCCCGGCCCTCATCCAGCAGTGGATTGACAAACGGGCTCGACTCGCAAACACACAAACATCCTGGGCATGCGACGAGACGATGGTGCAATAAATGCGCGTGCGAGTAATATACAAACTACACACATACTACATAAAAAAACACTACACCATGCACACACACTACGCAATATACACACTACACCTTGTACACTACACACACACTACGCCATATACACCCACAATACACACTACACCATACACACTACGCAATATACACCCTACACCATAAACACACACACACACCACAATACACATTACATACACATACAAAGCACACACCAGACAAAGATACCCCCCACTACTATAGCCTGACCAGACTGTTGGGGCAAGTGCTGTTAACGAAGACCTTTGACGGCAGACAGCGGCACACGAAGCCGCGGCGGGGTGGGGGGGGGCCGGCGTGGGTGTAAAAAAAAAAAAACACCACGCCCGGCCGCCTTTGTCTCTCCACACACAGGGCACTTGCGCTGGTACTTACAGCCATCGGATCGCGTTGCAGCAGACCACTTGAAGCACCAAGGCGCGGAGGACCCACACGAGGCACTTGCTCGTCATGCTCACCGCGCCGGTGGAGGAGGAGGCGAAGCCTCTGCGGGAACTCATTTCCACCGATCTGCTCCGGTGCGGGTCTAGCTCGGGTCTGGTCCCGGTCTAGCTCGGGTCTGGTCCCGGTCTAGCTCGGGTCTGGTCCCGGTCTAGCTCGGGTCTGGTCCCGGTCTAGCTCGGGTCTGGGTTGCGGCTCCCCCGGTCCAAACCCCGACAACAACAACAAAGACCCCACCGCACTCGAATTCGCGCTTTGACCGCGAGAAGTCCACAAAGCGTGGGGGGCGAGCGCCGATGACCCCCTTCTCTGCGCTCTTGCGGCTTCTGCGATTTCTCGCGATGCAGTAAGAAGACGCTGCGCTGCTCTTGATGTTGCCACTGCCGCTGTGCGCCGCCGCCGCCGATGTGAATCTTCTTGCGCGATGCGAATGGCAGGAAGGAAGAAAAACAAGTTCACATGCTCGATCCTAAATTCCGCGGCTCTGCTGCTTGTTATTTTAGGTTCGGTTCGTAAGACGATCGGTCCCGCTAGGCCACCAGCCGCGTGCGTTCTACAAAGAGAACCGGTTCTGGGTCGTCGTTGTTGTATAAACCGGTGCCGCCGATTCCACGTCCGTTCAGAGAATCCTGCACGCGAGACACAACAACAACAACGCTGTTTTTTTGGGGGAGGCAAGTGCGGTTCCGCAAGCACCGGCGGGGTGGGCTGGAGGTCGACACCCACTCCCGGCCGCCTTTGTCTCCCCACCGCACCAAGGTGCTCACTTGAAGGCCGAGTGTAAACACTGCGGAGGCCCAGGGCAGGTTGAGATATTCCCCGCCTGCCACTTGGTCGTGAGCGGGAATCGAACGTCGGGTTTTTTTTTAGTCACGCGGTGCGCTAACCACTGCGCCACCACTCCCCCCCACACACACACACGACAGACATGCAGACACACTCGCAACAGCTATAGACGAAGCTATCCACTATAAACCCATTCAACTTTATAGCCTTCAAACCCACGAGCGACGTTGTGCGGCGGGGTGCGTTTATTGGCGGATTGTAGACACCCCAGCAGTCTACAGGGGTACAACATTCTGAAAACCGTCGAGCAATATACATTTATAAATCGTCCATGGTCTGTTCATGAATAACACGATCCCGCTGTATTCATTCCCATTCGAATTCTAAGTCGCTCCAAGGAGAACGAGACGCAGCCCAAACTTGCGCCCGATGCCCAATGTGCACTTCTACAAACTTGTTTCACACAACTCGCTTGCATCTAACAAGACGAAGATACCGCCACCCCCCCCCTTGTGTAGCCTGTAGCAGACTGTTGGGGCAAGTGCTGTTAGCGAGCACCTATGAAGGCCGTCACGGCACACGAGGGGGTTGGGTGGGCCAGCACCACGCACGGCCGCCTTTGTCTCCCCAGTGGCGATGTTTTTACGCACCGCACCGGGTCACTCATTTGAGGCCGAGTCGACCTTCGGGGAGGCCCAGGACCGGTTCAGATGTCGGCCGTGAGCGGGAATCGAACTGCATCACCGCATGTATATATACACACACGCGAACTACCCGATTATAAGACGCATCCCTAAGTTTTGCTTTCGAATGGACAGGTGGGGGGGTAGGTGGAAAGTGCGTCTTATAATCAGAAAAAAACAACGTACATTAGTTTAGGTTTTATTTTTAACTTGCTTACACGCGCTGTGCCATTAAATATTATTATTTGTCGAGGGCTCACCCCAACTAAAATCACACGTGTAACAAAGTAAGCAGGCGAACACACACAACAACAACACGCACACGCGCGCGCGACACGCACGATGCCCTCCAAAAATGCTGCGGACGCAACAATCGCGAATTGGCACCGCGTCCACATCACCCAACTCGCATGGGGCCCACTCGGCCGAAGTTATCCGTGCAACTCAGACACTCGCAGCAGCAGCATCACGGCGTCGTTCGACTTCGAGCTCCCCAACCACGAAACGAGCCGAGCTTCTATTCGAAGTCGAAGAAGATTTTAACGTTTTCAGCCGAAATCCGTTCAAAAGCGATGCCGAGTTTCGGCCGATCTACTGAAAATGGGGGGGGGGGTCGGACCCTCATCAGCGCTGCGAATGACCGAGCAACGTGCACAAACGCTTCCAGACTAAACAAAAAAAGCGATTTAAATCCACGCGTAATCCGATTATCGCCTATAATGCAAGTATATTATAGCGTTAGCGCCGCCGTGTGCGCTGTACTTACTCGGAAGTCAGCAGAGGTGTGAATGGCTAAAAGAGCGGCAATTAAAGGGACACGGCGCGTGGCGGTGGTTTCTGTCGGCGCTCTGCGGAGGTCTCAGAGCGGAGTGAGAGGCGGGCGAGCGGGCGAGCGGACACGGCATAGACACCGGGCATCTGATCGTATAAGCCCAGCCTCGTTTAGCTCACACACACACCCACTCACACACACATCCTTTGTGTGTCTGTATCTCTCTCACACACACACACGCACACACACGTACCCACCTCCATATAACAAAGGCAAAGATCCCCCGTATAGCCTTAAAAACGGTTGGAGCAAGTGCTGTTAGCGAGCACCTATTAAGTCCTGAACGGTAAACGAAGGGGGTGGTTGGCCAACAACGCCCGGCCGCCTTTGTCTCCCCAGTGGCGATGTTTTACACACCGCACCAATTACTAATGAGGCCGAGTGGACTTAGGGGAGTTTCAGATAATCGTCACCGGTGTTGGTCGTGAGCGGGAATCGAACTCGGGTCGTCGGCTTCGTAGTGCAGCGCTAACCGCTGCGCCACCGCTCCCCACATTCACATACCCCCCCCCACTTTCTCCGACTTGTCGATCCTTCTCTCTCACAGACACTCAACGTCACCTACACACATCCTTCATGTGTGTCTGTATAACACCCCCCCCTTTCTCTATCTTACCATCTTGCCTGTCCGTCTCTCTCACAGACACTCCACTTTACACACGCACACAGGCACACATACAGGCACCCACACACACACACAGATACTGGCACACACACACAGATACAGGCACCCACACACACACAGATACAGGCACACACACACAGGCACCCACACACACAGACACACACACACAAACACCTTCTCATCCCCTGCCCGCGCGTCCGTCTCCCACGCAGTACGCCAACGCTCCGAACCAGTTCTGACCAGCGTGGTGAAGTGCAGAGCCGTCATTACCTCGGGACTCTTCATCCAGCAGTGGAATTACCATACAGACAAAATATACGACACAAAAGATTCCCCCCCCCCCCCACCGCTTTAGCCGCAGACTGTTGGACCCCAGGTCCAACCGCCTTTGTCTTCCCACTGGTGCTGTGCACACAAGTCCGAGTAGACGCTACGGGGAGTCCCAGGATCGGTTCAGATATTCGTCACCGATGTTGGCCCTGAAGGGGGATTGAACTAGGATCTCTGCTGGATTCGTAACGCAGCGCGCTAACCGCTGCGCCACCGCTCCCCACGCAACGCACCCACACACACCACCGTGGTACACAAAGCACTATCTTGGCAATCCAATGACCTTTAATATTTGTCTTCTACCTGAAGTGCCAATACACGAGGTGACATCAACGGGACGGCTTACAGCAAGCTCAACAACTACAGCACTTAAACCACGTGGCGCACGATCGCCGTACCCATCCCAACAACGATGGGGAAGGGGGGTTACATTCGGGGCGGCCACGCTCTCAATCAAGGGGACATCTCACGCTCAAACCTACCGGCAAACCAGGCAGAGCAGCGAGCGGCACGGCAGAACCACGAAAGCCACCGGGGAATGCGACATCAAACGCGATGCTGTCTATGCAAGAACATCTAATGGAGAGAATCAACGCGTCCATTCATAGGAAAGGTACCGAAATATAGAGCGTGTTATTTAATTATAGATGTATACTACAGCTCGATTATAATAGAACGTTAGAGGTAGGGGGGGGTAGTTGTCTGTATCGGCTGCGTGTCTCGCCACCGATCTGATGATGATGAGGATCGTGGTGGTGGTGGCGGTGGTAACAATCCTCAATGTTGCGAGCATCAATCGAGTAGTGACAGAGTGCTGCCACCTGCCGGCATGAGTGCTTCGTCGCAACGAGGGAACAGCGCTGGCTGTTTTGTCGGCGTGGGCGCACCGTTCCACGTGGTGGGGTGTTGTGTTGAACTTGTTTCGCAGCGCGCTCAGCCAACCGTGCTGATCGGGAGGTGCGGGGCAAGGACAACAAACTGAACACAAAAAGCGATTCTAAAGAAATGGGGTTTTCTATCGAGATTGAAGAGTGCATAGCTCCAGTGGCTTCCGAACAGCATAAGAGCGTTCCAGACGGCCGTAGAAGCGCATCTGAACGCCGGTGATGATTATCTGATTGAGGTCCTGGGCATCAACTAGGTCGACTCAGCCTGAAATGTATATTACCTGCTGCTGTGATTGCAGTACGATCTAAACGTCGGTACATAGCAAGACAAAGGCGGTCTGGGGTGCGTAGTAGAATCGATGGTCACATCAGAGACAAAAGTTCCCCGTATAGCCTTAACAGACTGTAGAGGCAAGTGCTGTTCGCGAGCACCTATGAAGACCGGAACGGTACACGACGGGGTGGGTGGCCAGCACCACGCCCGGCCGCCTTCGTCTCCCCACGGGCGATTTTTTTTACACATCACACTCATTTGAGGCCGAGTCGACCTAGAGGAGGCCCACAACGTGTTTTATTAAATCGTCACCGCTGTTGGCCATGAGCGGGAATCGACCTCGGGCCGCCGGGTTCGTAGCGCAGCGCGCGTACCCACTACACCGCCGCTTCCCAAACCACCAAAAGACAAAGCTCCCCCAGGTATGACCTTAGCAGACTGTTGGGGGCAAGTGCCGAGTGGCACCTATGAAGGCCGGCACGGCACACGAGGGGGTGAGCGAGTGGCCAGCACTCAGCACCGCCGCCTTTGTCACACCACCAATGACAAAGATCCCCCGTGTAGCCTTAACGGACTGTAGAGGCAAGTGCTGTTAGCGAGCACCTATGAAGGCCGGGACGGTACACGAGGGGGTGGGTGGCCAACACCACGCTCGGCCGCCTTTGTCTCCCCCAGTGGCGATGTTTACACACCTCAGCAGGTACTCATTTCAGGCTGAGTCGACCAAGGGGAGGCCCAGGACCGGTTCAGATAATCGTCACCGGTGTTGCTCCGTGAGCGGGCTAACCGCTACACCACCACCACCACGCTCCATGCGTACGTTGTACCGGGCGGGGTGCCTTTAAGAGGCGCTCGCAAACTCCACGTGCCCCAACAAGCCAGCGCGTCCCGACGGGCGATACATTGTCCTTGGCAATTAGCATTTGTTAAGCGATACTCGTTGAGAGGGCTGGAATCCTTGACTGGATACCCAACAAGAAGTCTCAATACACACTGGCGGTGAACGTGCAGACTTCCTTTCATACAGGCTCTGCGGGCGACGGTAAATCCCATTACGCCTGTCCGTAGCTCCAAATAGGTCTGGCGTACGGTGCCGTAGCGCGAACAGCCGATATTGTCAATGTATAGCAGCCAAAATACTCGAAACGCACGTGGACTCTAAATGTGTAGGGAAAACCCGGAGAACACGCAAATATACAGCAGCAGGCGTCAGGATTGGGATCGAACCCACGACCTCCTGCATACTCGGCGAGGTAGTTAACATCTCCTAGCCACCGCCGCGCCCCGTGTCATTCCCCACGATGCCCACTGACTTTTCGTAACAGCAAACGTGGAAGCAATTCCACGATTCGAAACGATGACGCTCCCGAATGGGGGGGGGGAGCACTTCAGTTGAAAAATGTTGCTCAGACAATTGCGATTAGCTTCCCTGCGCTTGGAAGGCGGTCACGCCTAACATCGGAGAGTTGTGACGGCGACACTTGAACCAACCCGAAACAGACCGGCGTGGTGAAGTATGGCGAAACAACACAAACCCAACCCTTGGTGACACGACAACGCAGTGGGGAAGAGGCCGTGATCCAACAGTGGATGGATCATGGTCGATGAATTATTGTTAAAACACACACACACGTAAGAGCGCAATAGGCAAAAATATTATAGAACACGCGTATTGCAATGTGGATAAGTGTTACGCACCAGTGGGTCTCGCTGACACGATCGCCTGGATCGATCCTATTCATTAAGCAGTAATCGTTTATTCTTTGCACATTTAAAATTCCACTTTCGTCAAATACACTCGCTGTCAAATGCCAAATAGAACAATAATCAAGTCATAATCTATACAGCTGTACGGATCATTGACGCTATGGATAGGTGTTCATCACCGCAGGCTATGGGAATAATTGATGTTTGCGAGCGCCTATTAAAACAATTATGTCGATACATAAACATCTGTGGAGCCTTTGAAGCAATGGTCGCAAATTATTGTCAGAGCACCCAATCGCACGATGTTGTATGTGGAATTTATTTCGTACCGTAACGTAGCCAACCGTGCTCATCGGAGGTGATTACAAAGGTGATCTGTTCGGCATTGTAGGCTATCGGAATCATATCTGTTAGTGAGCACCTATTAGCAAGATGTGCATTACAAAAGGGTATTCTGTTCAACATTGTAGGACATTAGAAGGCTGTCTGTTCGCGAGCACCTATTGATATATCACGACAACACGCAAACACGGACCGCCTTTAAAGCAAGCACATCTGACTGCGCGTTTCCTGCCGTTTTCGACTCACCTGCCGCCTCCGTCGTCTCTCGCCCAACAAGAAGCACTTCCACAGGTCGGGACGCGAACCTGTGCGTGATATGGGTCGGTCGGTTCTCTGTAAGCTACACACGCAGCCAGCGGTGGCACAATACACACACACGCGCGCGCGTTCTGCGTGTGTGAGTGTGCATATGTACAGACTGTCGAACAGCCATTGGCTCATCAAGGCGACACCAAAACCGCCCACACCCCCTGCCGCGTGTCCCCCCCACCACCACCACCAGACGTTTATTCGCAAACTTGATCGCCCGCCCATACGCCTACCCACCCACCCATCCCCCCCCTCGCGTTTCAACTTTTTTTTCCTAATTTGTCCACGATAGCCACACTCAGTCCCAGGACTTGAATTCAGAAAGATCCTCCTCCTGCCCCTGCATTGTGCTCATGTGTATATATGTTGTAAATGTTTCCAGCCAATTTATGACGATGACGAGTTGTGTTTATGATTATTATTGTTATTCACGTGGAGAGGAGCAAACCGGAGCACCTGGAGGAAACCCACGGCTTGCGCGAGGTGGCACAACACTCGATCCCCCTACAGGTGGAAACAGATGGCGATTCGTGCTATTTTGTCAGCCTGCAGGCTTCTCTTCCCGCCCGAGACGCCAACGGGGACCGCTCTCAACTCATCGGGGACTCAACCAAACTGCGAATCCGGCGGGGGTGCAAACCACCAGGGGATGAGTCGCTGATGTCTTGCCGACCCAATGCAACACGCTTACTCTGGTGGAACAA